TTGCGGCACTCCTGCGGTAATATTAAATGTTTTGGATAGTGTATCGTTCATTTTAACTTGACTTGTTCTGTCAGCCAGAAAGTTTGTTATCCATCTGATTATACTTTTATTGATATTCAGCTGCTTTAGTTTATATTTTATGGCATTGTGCAAACATTATCATATGTTTTTTAAACATTTAAGAATACTCCTATGGTAGTTTGGTTATTATTGAATGATTTATAGATAGATTTGTTAATCGTGTGAGATGATCTATTGTTTTTGTGTTCTTTCTTGATGCGCTCTGAATGTTTGGTAGTAAATTCTTTGTTTCACAGAAGAGAAGAGCTCTATTAGATATTATTTTTCTATTAGCTTTCTTAGACAACTTAACAAACTAATGGCATGGAAATTATCAGGGTTAGATCAGTTGGCTTGATTTGAAATAAAAGTAGGTTTGAAGTTTTTTCAGGACAATGTTTCTTACCGTGTCATGAACGGGAGTGGAATTTATATGTTAATTTTTGGTTTCTCGAGCCTGACTTTTCTACTTATTAGGTTATGTTGGTGAGTTATAATGGGAGTTGTTAGATGGGAATCACGGAATGAAAAGCGTTGGATTAGTGTTGACGTAATTATTTATCTGACAGTAGCTTTGGGAATTAAAATCTAGGGAGTTTAGGTTGCTGAAAGATGTTTCATAATGGTCGACCAATTGACTTGGATTGTCTGAATCTGTTTCAACTGTAATGTTAAATAATTTGAATAAGGTACTGCCTCATTATAATGCCTTCTCGGATATAATGTTGTTATGCCTTGGCTCCCAAAAATTTAGAAAACTATTGGCTATTTTTGGACCCAGTGGATATTCCATCTATCTGATCGTAAATGACGTCATTAAATAGAAAATGGTTTAACTTTGTAGAGAAGGACAAGAAGTTTCAAGAATTGTTTATGGGTGAAACCATGATACTGCTCAGTGTCAGAAGGAACTAGAGATGCCATGTTGTTAATTGCGGCAGGCTTAGAGTAGCGTTTGTCTAAACAACTCGAAGACGTTTTATACTGGATGGAGCGACAACCAATAGTTATTCCAGGAATTGTGAGGCATATGCTAAATTACGTTCGGAAAGAGGCTCTAAAACCAAATGAAGCAGACTAAAGAATCAGAATTTTTAAATAAATAAGTGAACACGAGTTTGCTTTGTTTCTGAAATATCGGAAAGTTTCTATTCATATTTTAACTTTTTTTTATCTTATCTATGTTATTTTTATATCTATTTTCCCTAGCTATTTTATTTAACTGATTGCTTTTGTAGTCTGTTAAATCCGTGCTTATTCGGCACGTGTGCTTTCTTGACTAGTTGGTTATAACGCTCCCTATATTGCTCTCCGGTGCACGTGACATATTCAACAGTTCAAGGACTTTGGAAAAGAAAACTATATCTTCCAAAGAATGGCAAGAATTTTAACAGTGGATCCCAACGATTAGTGCAGCTGTACAGTGCATAACTGAACAAGATTTTCTCCTAGAAGGACGGTCTGTTTGTTTGTAATTAAGCACAAAGCTACACAATGGGCTATCTGTGCT